ACGTACGCGGAACGGACTCTGCGGAGGTCCGTGCGGACTCAAAGCGGACGTCCGCAAGCCCTGTGCGCGCAAAGCTCAGATTTTACGACCGCGAAAGGGGAGGTAATTTAAACCAGAGAAAGCGGAGTTACTCCAGCCCGTTTCAGAAAGAGAGGTAAGTGAAGCTCGGTGTCAGTTACTATGGCAACTGACTCTGTGAACCTAACCTGGTCGGGAGCAGGTTTTCTTCAATGAACCTCAAGTTTCTAGCTGTCTCCTCCCTCTTATGCCAGTGTGATTCTTTCATTCATTCGTTTAGTGTCGCGCGGGTTTCAGCGAGTTTGATCATCTGTCATCAAAGTAAAGTCAGATCCTAAAGTGTGTTCTAGTTCTAAATCTACTTTTTTCGACCATGGCATGTCCGTTCTTGGAGGACCCTGTGGACGAAGAGGCAGTGTTACTGAGGAGGGAGTTACGCATTTGTCAGGAGATTATTCACAGGCCCAGAATTGACGTATTATCATTTCCAGAACATTTTCTTTTTGAACGGTACCGTTTCACATCACAGTCCGTCATTTATATCCATAACCTCATCCGTCGTGACATAACCAACGTCACCAACCGTGGACGTGCACTTTCATCTACCCAGATTGTTTGTGTTGCTCTTCGTTTTTTTGCAAACGGGAGTTTTCTGTATAATATCGGAGATGCAGAAAATATCAGTAAGGCTACTGTCTGCAGAGCCGTGAGAAAAGTGTCCCTAGCTCTGAAACGTCTATTAAACTCTTTTGTTGTGTTCCCTGGACATAAACCTGTGAGGGTCATCAAGGAGGAGTTCCACAGGATTGCAGGAGAATGATGTAGAACTCCCTTATTTATTTATTTTTAACATGAAAGAAAAAAAATATAACACTGGTGAAAGTAAAGGTGCTGAGAAGAGGCAAGAGACCCAGATGGGCCTATATGTGGCCTCAACTCATGAACTTCATTAAAATGAAACAATACAAGCCAAACGATTAAATTAAACATAACATGCCAAAAGCATAGTGAAATAAATTAATCAACGCAATTTTCATAGTATTAAGACATTAATAACGAAATAATAATAACAACAAAGACAATAATTAAAGCAACAAAAGCAAACAACTACTATGATAATAACAATTACGATAATAACAACACTGATGATAATAATAATAATAATAATAATAATAATAATAACAATAAACAATATCAGTATTATTTAGTCAAAATTTATCTAAAGATGGTTTGGGGTGAGCTGGACCGCAGAGTGAAGGCAAAGGGGCCAACAAGTGCTAAACACCTCTGGGAACTCCTTCAAGACTGTTGGAAACCATTTCAGGTGACTACCTCTTGAAGCTCATGGAGAGAATGCCAAGAGTGTGCAAAGCAGTAATCAGAGCAAAGGGTGGCTATTTTGAAGAAACTAGAATATAAAACATGTTTTCAGTTATTTCACCTTTTTTTGTTAAGTACATAACTCCACATGTGTTCATTCATAGTTTTGATGCCTTCAGTGAGAATCTACAATGTAAATAGTCATGAAAATAAAGAAAACGCATTGAATGAGAAGGTGTGTCCAAACTTTTGGCCTGTACTGTATATATATTAATATATACTTAGAACATACACTACCACAATTACTGTTATTATTAATATAATATTAATATATTAATATTATTAATAAAATTAATGTTATAGTAGCTATTTTCATTGCTGCTTGCCCTGCTTCTCTCTTTGGCTCTGTCTCTCTTTATCAGGGCTGTAGTCAACCAAAGAAAAACTTGGTCGACTAAAGTCGCACATAATCTTCAACTAATCGATTAGTCGTGGGGAAAAAAAAAATCTGCACGTTATTTTTACTTCTGCGGTGGTGTGCCTGTCACTCTGCAGTTACACCTCCAAAACACTAGTCGGCGGTGGAGGACTGTGTTAAGTGCTGTAAAGTTTAGTTCAAATCAAACTTTATTTATATAGTTGATTCAAAATACACATTAAATATGGCTTAATAAAGACAATTTCAAACACAAGTACACAAATTGGCTTCACTATAAATCACAGAACTGACAGACAAACACTTCTTTATTACGTCTTTATCTGGACACATTTCCCTCACCAATACAACATGCTAACGTTATTAGCACAAGTTTATGGCATTTTACATTGTATAAATTACCTTAGTGTCTAGTGATCTTTTCCTCTTCTCATATAAAGTCAGGGACAACAACAACATGTAAGAAAGGTAACGGTACATAATTTGGCTACATTATAACTCACAACATTCACCGACAAAACAACTGTCTTATACTAAACACGTTTTCCAAGCAAATACAACATGCTAATGTTATAAGCAAAAGCCTATGGAATTTAACATAATATAAATTAGCCTAGCGACAAGCGGAGATTTCCTCTGCTCATATGAAGCCAGGATAAATCCCGCAGTATAAATCCCTGAAGGCTAAATCACACACATGACTTAAAATGCTATTTTAATGGAGGCTTTACTGTCTCCACAATTTGTTGTTTCTTATCTGTAGCCATGTTTCCATCAGCCTGTTAAGATGCGCATCTAGAAGTATCGCATCGGAAAATTATGATGGAAACGCCAAAATTCGAATTAAAATCCCCTGATTCGCACAAACTAAAATACGCTTGCTTTAGCCGGGTTTTGGTTGATTCGAAAAAATGTTGATTCGCAAAACGGGGATGGAAACAGTTATGTTCGAATTAAGTCTGACGTAGCGCACCTCTCTCCATGGTGATATCCACACTCCGGGTCGGGAAGGCGGTAATGCATTTACAAGCTGGTTGTCAACTGCCAGAAAACGTAGAAGAAGAAGAATGCAAGACTTGTTTTGTTTCCGGTTCTGCGGAGAACTTGCGCAAGTTCATAGTTTTCAGCAAAGTCCGTACATTTAATGGAAACACAGGATTCCTTTTTTTTTTTTTAATGCGCATTTCCCTATGATTCAAATCACTTTTGGATGGAAACATAGCTTGTGAAATACAAGTGAATACAAGCTTCGTTTCCACTAAGGGGAAATGGTGTCAGCTTACAGAGACAGTCAGGAGGTCTGCGTCTGCAACGCTGAGCGTGAGGGTGGGCGAGTTCAACTTTCTGTCACTTTCTTTGAAAACACCCCCATTTTCACAGGTAACTTAGCCTGTCCCACCGCCGCAGGAAATAATGGATTAATCCTGGAAAGCTGCTGATGTAGCACTTTTCTCCTTATGAAAGTAACACGGCGATTATTCGACCAGTGAGAATTGGGTAGGACGAGAGCATAGCGACCAAATAATCGACTAGTCGACCAGGAGACTACAACCCTACTCTTTATGTATCATTTTGTCATTTGGATTACTGTAAATTTATCATGTTGATCTGTTCTGTACGACATCTATTGTACATATGTCCATCCTGGAAGAGGGATCCCTCCTCAGTTGCTCTTCATGAAGTCTCTATCATTTTTTCCCCCGTTAAAGGGGTCTTTTTGGGGAGTTTTTCCTTATCCACTGTGAGGGTCCAAGGATAGAGGGATGTCGTATGCTGTAAAGGCCTCTGAGGTAAATTGTGATTTGTGATATTGGGCTTTATGAATAAAACTGAATTGAACTGAATTGAATTGAATGCATATGAGTGTAAGAGTGTATCACAGAAAAAGGGCACAGTGGCATCCAAGTTTGGGCACCCTTGGTCAAAATTTCTTTTACTGTGTGTGAATAGTTAAGTGAATAGAAGATGACCTGATCTCCAAAAGGCATTAGGTTAAAGATGAAACATGCTTTTCAACATTCAAGATTAGTGTATTATTTTTGTTTTGTACAATTTTAGAGTGAAAAACAGGAAAGAAGCACCATGCAACAGTTTGGGCACAAGTTTGAGCTCTCAGAAAACTTTTATCATGGTCTCAGACTATAATTAGCTTGTTAGGGCTCTGGCTTGTTCACAGTCATCATTAGGAAAGGCCAGGTGATGCAAATTTCAAATCTTTATAAATATTCTGACTCCTGAAACACTGTCCCAACAATCAGCAGCCATGGGCTCCTCTAAACAGCTGCCTTGCACTCTGAAAACTAAAATAACTAATGCCCACAAAACAGGAGAGGACTATAAGAAGTTCGTAATGTAATTAAGAAATGGCAGTTAACAGGAACTGTGGTGGCCAAGTTGAGTTTGGGAAGACCAAGAAAACGTTCAGAGAGCTGCTTGTAGGATTGTTAGAAAGGCAAATCAAAACCCTGTTTGACTGCAAAAGACCTGCAGGAAGACTGAGCAGACTCTGGAGTGGTGGTGCACTGTTCTACTGTGCAGCGACACCTGTACAAATATGACCTTCATGGAAAGTCATCAGAAGAAAACCTTTCCTGCATCCTCACCACAAAATTCCACATCAGAGGTTTGCAAAGGAACAACTATATAAGCCTGATGCTTTTTTGAGGTCTTGAAGACTATTGAAGATAAAATAGAACTTTTGGATGCAATGAGCAAAGGAATGTTTGGAGAAAATAGGATGCAGGATTTCATGACAAGAACACCTGTCCAACTGTAAAACACGGGTGGATCAATCATGCTTTGGGCTTGTGTTGCAGCCAGTGACATTTCACATTTAGAGGGAAGAATGGATTCAGTTAAATTCCAGCAAATTCTGGAAGCAGACATCACACCATCTGTAAAAAAGCTGAAGATGAAGAGAGGATGGCCTCTACAACATAGGAATGACACGTATACATTTTGAAAAAGGGTGTAGATCTCCTTTTTCTAGGCTTACAGGTCATACACACAACAATAATCCTCTCTTATCATTCATCATTTCTACAATGAATTTGTATCTAGTCAAATACATCCAGTCCATTATCAGTGGAAGAGGACAATGACAGGATCATATCTGAATGGAATACAAATCCTATATGAGCTTCTGTATACTTGTTCTCTTCTCATGCACAATCTCATCTTGCAGTAATTAGCATTCAGACATTAGTGTGTATGTGCTCTGTCTCACCTTGAACAGTATTCATCATGGGCCTGGTGGTCAGTCAGTCAGAGGGGTGTTCGGGGCAGGACCGATTGATCTCAAACCATGAGTCTATACAGCTGCAGATACACAGACATTAAGTTTTTTTGTCCAACAAGTCTATACAACATCCCACAGCTGTAAATACACATGACAGTTGAGAGGGAGAGAGAGAGAGAGAGAAAGAGATCATAAGATAACAACTGAGTAGATTCAGAGGATTGATGCTAAAGTAAGGCCCAGAGGGAAACATAATAGCAGTGTTAGCACGATTACACCCATACATTATTGCATTACTTTCAACGTTTAGCATTTTACATTCTCACTGTATTCTATGGAAAAGTTTATTCATCATATCTCTGTTAGCATTTATGTATGGTGGGAAAAGAACCTTTACATCAAAATAGTCATACAAATGAAAGAAGCAATACCACAATGAAGAAATACTCCCCTGCAAGTGTAAGGCTCTGACCACACAGAAAGTGTTTTAGAGGTTGCAAAACAAGAAGTGCACTGCCATGCCTTATCTTCTTTTAATTGAATGCCACTAGTAAAAAAAAACACTTGCTGCACCTTTATATTGCTGCCTTCCAGTGTCATCACTCTACCGTTTCAAGTTACAAGTACCGAAAGTACTTGCTATAGCGCTGGTTGAGGGTGAGAGCCTGTCAGCAAATAGTTTGTTGGGCACAGGGAAACAGAGATCTGTGTGGGTACATGACACTCTAAAAAAGAGGGTGGCTCACGGGAGTACCACCAGTTCTTCGGGGGCAGTTTGACAACTGTCAAAAGTTTTGACAAAAGTCTGGAGTCCATTGGTCCTGCCAAGTGACTGAGCCCCACCAGCTTCTCCTCCATTGTTTACCAACTGTAAAGCTGTGTCATGACCACCACAGAAGCCCTGCCTCTCAAATCATCCCACTGGACAAACAAGCGCAGATGACGTGGGATGCTATTCTGCTCTGATTAGAAGTTTTTTCAACCAGAGGAGTTCAGAGCATTCCGGCAAAAACACCAAGGGCCCTATTTAGATGGTCTAAAACGCGAAGCGCCAGGCTTGCGGCGCATGGGCGTGTCCCTGTCACTTGCTAGTTAGACAGCGCGTTTTCAGACTGTGCGCCATGGCGGAGAGTCTAAAAGGGTTGGACTTACTCTGTGAATTAGTCATGGGTGTGTTTTGGGCGTATCATTCAATAAGCCAATCAGAGTGTCACCTCTCATTCCCTTTAAAAGAGGCGCACGGTGGAGAGCTAGTTAGATGGCGGACCTACCAACTGGAAGGTAAGAACCAGATCTACGGGGAGAGCAGACAGGCACCCAAGCTCCCCGAGGTAAAGCAGGCGCGGGATCACTAATACAAGAAAGATCTTACTAAATATCTGTGGAATATTATTCAAACCTGTTTTCATCATATAACAGAGCACAGCTGTCAGGACCACCGCGGAGCTCCCCAAGGTGCTGATCCTGCAGCTAGGACCTGTTCAGCGTTTTGCTGTTCAGCTGTGTTCTGCCTCTTATTTGCATGTGTGTTCTCTCTACACTCAGATAACAATATAATAATATAATATAATGTAGCCTAGTATAACATGTTAAAATAAATGCAATGTGTGGGCTTTGGTTTTCAATCAAAAAAATGATTGATTGGTCAGATAATTTCATTTCATTTGTAATTTTTACAAATTATGATGATCATTATTACTGCGATTAGATCATTCTGATTAATGACTGACCATTAAGATGTGTTTCTGATAAATACTGTAATGTGCACAATAATAACCTTTCACATTGTAATCATATTTTTATTTGTTATCTTTTGCATATGTGTGGCTGCTCCGTGTGTGTCTGAGCAGAGTGCATGCGTGCTGTGCACCCGCCTAGAGACGCGTATTACCAACTTGTTTAACAGTGAAATACTGCGCCGTTGACTTTAGACCAGGTTTTTGTTGGTCACTGGCGCATTTGCTTTTTACATTATCTAACTAGCAACGCGCCATGACTGCGCCTGACCACTCCTCATTTTAGACCAACACACCCAGAGAAGCACAAGTTCATTTGCTAGTTAGACGACGAGGGCGCAGGGCGTGAAAATGACAACTGCGCCTACATCTAAATAGCAATGACACTTCCGACATGGATTATGCGCCCTCCGCTGTCCGCTTTAGACCATCTAAATAGGGCCCAAAGCGCCTAGAGCTCAGAAATATGAGGTGCATAGCAATGCAAAAACAGCAAGCAAAAAGCTTCATTCTCATTTAAAACAATCAGAAAAAGCCGCTTTGAACTGCTAAATTTCTTTCTGTATGATCAGGGCCGAAGTCCTGCATTCAGGATGTTACTTATGTAAACTACAGAGGTACAGCCTGCAAAATGTACTTCAGTCACAGTGTTACAATATATTGTTATGTATAAAATATTGTATATATTATTGGAATATACTTCTCAGCAGTATTTAATGTTGTAACATGTTCAGAGGGGAGCTTGGTTCTACTACTATGTAATGTGCTGGGTAGTTTTATGAAAAACAATACATCAAACTCTTAATAAGTTAAATAACTAATTACGTAGATGTCAGATAAATGGAGTTTAGTTTAAAAAATGTATGTATGGTTTATACAACCCTGATTCCAAAAGAGCTGGGATGCTAGAAATGCAATGATTTCCAAATCTTTTTTGACCTACATTTTATTTTATTTTTTAGTCAATGTATTGAACATGTTAAAACAGTCCACAAACAATAAATAACCAAGACAATCACTGGTCCAGCTCGTAATCATTCAATGTTTCAATTGTGTGCAGTCCAGAAACAAGATATTTCATGTTCAAACTAAAAAACATTATTGTTTTTGTAAAAAACACACTTATTCTGAATTTGATGTTAGTGCCTATGGCATCATGGGTAACTCACATCTGTGAAGGCACCATGAATGCTGACAAGTACATACAGGTTTTGGAGCTACATATGCTGCCATCCAGACAACATCTTTTTCAGGGACGTCCCTGCTTATTCCAACGAGACAATGAGACACATTCTGCAAGTGTTCCAACAGCGCGGCTTAGTGGTCAAAGAGTGCAGGTACTAGACTGACCTGCCTGCAGTCCAGACCTGTCTCCCATTGAGTGTTTGTGGAACATTATTAAGCACAAAATATGAAAACAGAGACCCTGGACTGCTAAGCATCTGAAGTCATATATCAAGCAAGAATGGGAAAGAATTTCACTTTCAAAACTTCAGCAGTTAGTATCCTCAGTTCCCAAACACTTACTGAGTATCAACAAAAAAGGTGACGTCACACAGTGGTAAATATGCTCTTATCCCAACTTTACTCGAACGTGTTGCAGGCATCAAATTCAGAATAAGTGTATATTTATAAAAAAAAAAAAAGGAAAGGAAAAAACAATAAAGTTTGAACATTAAATATCTTATCTTTGGACTTTATTCAACAAATATATAAGTCAAAAAAGATTTACAAATCACTGCATTCTGTATTTATTTACATTTTACAGAACACCAAATTGTTTTGGAATTGGGGTTGTACTACACTATAATATTTTCCCCTGAAACTTGTGAAATAAAGAAATAATGTAGCACATAAAACACTTACTTTATAGTACTTTATAGTCTTACTATGGATGTGACTTTTCCAACCAAAGCTGTTTTTAATGTAGATAAAAGCATTCAAAACCTATACAAACCTGATTTACCATAAAGCTAATTGCCTGGGCTTACTGAGCTCAACTGGCATCTACTGTATATGGGACAGACCTTTAATTCCTTTCACACAAAACTCTTGCTTAGCAAAGAGGGGAAATAACCTACCATCAAATAGTTTTTTAAAACCATTTTGAATATTGCTTGTATAAAATTAGGCTATCTAATAACTTTCTTTTGATCTGAGGACCCTTACAGACTAAAGGAATATAGGCTAAATAATCGAGGAGTGGATACATGTTTGAACTTCATGACCACTTCAGAGGAAGGGAGTCCCCACCTTTTTGTCTCTCTTACTTTTGCTGGTAAATCTGAATAAATTACAGTCAGCTTTGGTACTCATGGTTTCAGTAACATGAACTGGATGATTGAATTGTGGAGACTCTAACCAAGCTAATGATGTGTAGCATCTCCATAATGACAAATGTTTGAACATTTAGGCTATACTCGTTTCACGTGATCAAATCAGCTTAGCACTAGCCAAGTGGGTAGCTGACAACTTTAAGAGGTTTAATACAGCCAGAGAGCTTAAAACAAAACACTGCTTTGCAGCATCACCGGCAACCAGACCCAGCATCTAAATTAGGCCCTGTCTATACGTATCCAGAAATCTTTGTAAACAGATATTTTCTCCTCTGTTTTTAAAAAACAAAATCCCTCCACACAAATTTGTTTTACAAAATATCTTCGTCCCTATGTGTGCAGTGTTGTTGCTTCGGTGCTGCAACAGAGCTCTAACTACTGTATTTCCACAACAGAAAGCTTGTACTCTACATATTTAAGGAGCTGTACAAGCAACAACAACGTAGACTTGCAAATATTTCACAATAAAAAAATAAGGGATTCTGTTCACAGAAGAGTTGTCAGGGGCCTTTTATTTTGAAACAGAAACAGGAAGTGTTGAGTCAAAAATTAATACTTATAGTTTTTCATGTTTGTGATGATATAAACAATGAAACTGTAGATAAAGATGGTACAGTGTCAATATGAGTATCAAAACACCATTTTCACTGCCAATTTGTTGCTGAAAATGCACATGTGTGTGTCCAAAAATAGGCCATCAGTGAGACTTCTATTCTTTAGATCAGTGGTTCCCAACTGGTCCAGCCACAGGGGGCCAGATTTTTCCTTTGTCATTAGTTCAAGGTCCACAAAGTTTAATATATTCAGCATTGAGCTACCTTGCTGTCTCTGTCAAGTAGCTCACTCACTCTACAGCAGGAAATGGCAATTCTAAATAAAAGCTCTGTGCAAACAATCCACTGTAGACACTTGCAGTCCATTTAGAATGGATCCGCGACCCACTTTTGGACTGCGATCCACCAGTTGGGAACCACTGATCTAGATGTTCTGCAGCTGAGCAGCAGCCAA